ATTCACTCGGGAGAATTCAGAAATGCGACGTTTGGAACGGCCGCTTTAATGCGACTTTAATAAAGTGCCTGATGGCCATAAAGCTGATTTAAAGCATCGGTTAATTTTTTATTAAATATTTTATTAGATAAAACTGCGAATGCTAGCTAGCTGCACAGTTTAGCATAGCCGCAGCTGCAGACAGATTTCCATATCATTATGGTCTGGGCTCCAGAACAACAAGAACCGCCATGGATAACAGTCAGTTAGCGCAGGCGGGGACCCACAGCTGGAACCCCACCGGCCCCGGAGCCGGACCCATAAAAACCACATCTGAAGGGCAATGGTTCCCACCTGGTCCCCGGACCTGTCGCTGCGATCAGATTACGAGGGGACCGCCTTCCCCATCCAGGCTCAGCAGCGCCGCACAGCCTGCTGTCCTGAACCGCCAGCTCCGCATCGCAGACCGCCAGCCTCACGCCCGGCAGCACGCAGCCTTCACCCAGCCACCACGTACCAACCTGTCACCCCCTCTTTAAACTAAGGGTTAGACTCTGGTTTAAGGTCATTAAAACTCAGCAGCATCTGGAAAATGGCTCTGCATGAGATCAAAGAACATTTAGCTTTAATAAAACCTAAAAAACTCTGATTGCTTCGTATTCGTCCTCATTAAAGGATAAAAACATCATGAAGGTGAATAAATATTAACTCGCTATGTAAAATGACTCCTTCCTGACTAAACTGACGTCACGGCTCCTCAGTGGGTCACATGACCAAATGAGGAATTTATCTTAGAGAATTATTTTATGCAATAAAAACTAAATGCTGGAAAGTTTTTCATCTACGATGTGTTTAGTTTTTCATAAACTATCAAATGAGAAAATCTAAGTTTGTTTTCTATTTGACCTTTAATGAAATATTGTTTAATTTCAGCTGAAGGAAGAAAGTTTTCACCATTTTCTAAATAACTGATGGAGTTTAACTACGGAGTCAGGAAAGGGTCAAAATGTTTGCAAACTTAAAAATCTTAGTTGAAACTGAAAAAAATCAAAGTCGACATTTATTGTCAAATTTTTACCTTATAATGCGAGAAACTAAAAAAGAGCAAACATAAATAAAATAATAAGAATTTAATCTAAATTCAGTTTAGTATTTTAATTACACTTTTTTTTTTCTTTTCTTTATTGCAGTTTCAGATTTTATACTTTTAGATTCAAATCAAATCTTTTTTCTTTTTTAGTTTCAGATCAGTTTTTTTTCACCTTCAGATTTTGACGCCAATCTGACGGGAGTGGGCGGGGAAACGTGATTGACAGCTAGCAGAGGGAGGGATGTCCCGTTCCATGAAGCGTTCAAGGACTGTGGGAATTCCAACAAAACATTTTGCAGCATTTATTTGCCTTTTTGGCAAAATCCTGAGAAAAATATTTAATTAAAGACATTTCCACTGGAACTGTCACTTATCATCATTCCAGAATGCGTTAATATATATATAGAAAAATAAACAGCCATTCTATAAACCACAAAACTTTCCAACAATCTGAAATAAATTCTACATCCATTCATGGAAAGATGGCGTCTGGACTGATGGGTTCCAGCGGCACCGCTAATCAGGTACGTTTATCTTTTTTACAAACTACATTATCACAGTCCTAAATAGTGCAATTAAAATTAAAACTTTTAAAAGATCTGGTGAACTGTGATGTGAAATGGCGCTATAGAAATAAACTGAATAGAACTGAATAATACGTCGAATGAAGAGTAATTCTTGTTTTAACATCTTTAAAAAGTTTAAATCTTCATTGTATTATTAATGACGGTGATAATGTAGTTAAAAAGATGAAACTGGTGTGGTTAGCAGGACGCCATCTTTCCATCAACCCAGGTAGAATTTAATAAAGCGTCGGGGATTTTAACGTGAAAAACTTTGTTCGGAAAGTTTAAAAAATATCCTGAAACTGAAAAAGGAATTTGAAACAAAAAAAAAAGGAGGGAAAAAAAACTGAAAAAGTTTGAATCTAAAAATCTAAAACTAGAATAAAGAAAAGAAATAAAAAGAGGAAAAACTGTAATTAAAATATTAAACTGAATTATGATTTTTTTCAAACTGAGGGGAAGAATTTAGGTTCAATTCTTATTATTTTACATTTGCTTTTTTGTTTCTCAGATAATAACGTAAAAAAATGACTTTCAATATCAACTTCTATTTTTTTCCTTTTCTAACTTTTATTTTTTCAGTTTCAACTAAGCTTTATGTGTCTATAAATAATTTGGGCCTTTGTGACTCCATGTTTAGGAGCTGGAGGGATTTCAGCGCGATGCTGCCACCTACCGGGCTTTTTGGGCATTACCATCCTGGTCGCTGGGTCAGCCTGCCAGCCTTGACTCACCACACCTGGGAAACAAGGAGAAGCATCATCAGCCACCAGCAGCAGGTGGGTGGAGCGGCGGCGGTCGGCGGCGGCCTCACCTTTCACCGCCTCCTCCACGGAGTAGCCCACGAAGGCGGCGAAGTCTTCCGCTGTGATGGAGGTGTAGGCCTGCGCCACCAGGCTGTAGGCCCTCTGTCTGGTGCCGTCTGAGGGAAAGGTTCACATGGAGGACACACGTCAGGATGACACGCAAACAGGAAGTGGGCGGGGCTTAGTTATCTGAGGTCCAAATGTCTTCTGCAGGCGCTCAATCAGAAGCGAGCCCCTGGAGGCACATTAATACAGGAAGGGGACGCTTTGCCTCAACAGCACGCAGGGTAGGGGCCCCTGTGAGGGCCCCTGTCACACCTGCACTTTCTATAGACTTTTACTATACGGAGAGAATTCATTCCAGAACGTCTGTCCAAACGCATCGTTTCATGGAGATGACGCAGCATTAAAGCTGCTCCCTTCAGGCGCATTGCTCCAGATTCGTTTTAGCCAGATTTTCCGTACGTCAGGCTAACGCCGGTCTAAAGCGTCACGCCGTGATTAGAGCTTGAACACAGATTAGAAAAAATAAGTCATGAAATTTTGAAAAACTTCTTAAAGAAAATATTTAAGATAATAGATTTCCTTCGATTGTATTTTTTTAAACCTAAAAGGAACTCAAACTAAAAATACAACAAAATAAAAGGATTTTATCGGTTAAAAAATGTAAAAAACAAGAAAAATAACTTCTTGGATAAAGACGTGTTACAAAGTTTCATTCCTGAACTGATCAAACTGCCCCATCGAGGAAACATGGAGCTGCAATGGAGCCATAAAAACTAAGAGAGGGAAATGAAGTGGGCGGAGCTTAGATGTGTGTGTGTTTGGGGTGGGGGGGCTGATTGGACACATGATACTGTGCTGCTGCATTCAGGGACCGTGGGAATGTTTCAGCTTCAGCTCAGGACAATCAGCCTGTTGGAGGAATGATGATATTATTGCAGCTCTGATCCACTGATTGCTGATCACTGATTGCTGATTGTCTGTTGGTAGCAGGCGTTGAAGTGAAGCTACCGGCCACCATATTGGTACTCCCTAGTCAGGCCGGTCTCAATGTGATCAATCTGTGCGCTACAGCATCAAACACCGATGGTGATCTCATTTTCAGGGACTGAAGACTTAAAATAAAGATAAATTCATCACTTTGCCACAGACTGGCTGTTTGTTAGCATCATAGGAACCCAGTGAATAAATCAGGGATGTGACCTTTGACCTGCTCAGCAAAGCAACAGAACCGGACGGGTCTAAGCTTAGATTAGAGAAGCAGTTTAGGTTTTAAAATGAAATGAGAGACATTTCTGTTTCCCACTGTTCCTGAACGCACCAGCTGGGAATATTTAGCTCAGTCATCTAAGCCCCGCCCCCTAACCCAGCCAGCAGCGGCTGGAAACTGAAAAACAAACTTCAATCTAAAATTAGTTTGAAAAGTTTCTTTGAGGTCCTGAAGTTCTGAACAGAACCGGTCCAGATTTCTCTAGCAGGTCCTGAACGGACCGACCCGTCAGAACCGTCTGGACTCTGTGGGTTTAACACTAGAAAACTACAATCAGTTTTTAAGAGACGAATAAAAGGATTAAACTAAATGATGATGATGATGATGACGATGATGATGATGATGTGGCCCCTGAACCTCCCGGTTCCATCTGTGGAGCCGAGCGGCTCAGATTACAGCCGGGTTCTGGTTCTGGTTCTATTTTAGGACGGTGTTTATCACTCAGCCTTCATCCTTTCAGCGGCGGGTCGGGAAAGCGGGTCGGGTCGGTGCCGCTGCATTCCTCCAGATAAGCTGACAGCTTCAGGTCGCAGCTGCTGCGTTTATCAGCGCTTGCTGGGGTCGGTCTCCTAGCAACGGCCGGCGCCGCGGGGCAACAGAAACATTTGGAGGAGGGGAGGCAGCTGGTTCTGGCGGTACCAGCCCTATTTAGAACCGGGCTTTTCTTAGCTCGCCTCTCTGACACTTCACATTCAGGTCGGAGGTGCTGAGCAAGATTTCCATGAGTGGGGGGTTTCAGGGAGCCTATTCCTGGACGCCATCATCTCACCCCCTAAAATAGCGGCCGACCCGGTGAACCCGGCGCTGAAACGCGGCGGGCGGGAGACAGAAGAGGCAGCGAACCCAGAGACAGAGACACATCTTTATTAGAGCAAAGACAGAAGCAAACGAACAAACATCTGATCTAAACCAGAATAGAAAAGTATAAAAAAGTTCTGCTGACGTCAGCGCGACCTTTCACCCCTGACCCCTCATTCCTCCTCCTCCGCGTCTTCAAACTCCTCGTCATCCGCCGCTCCAAAGTCCATCTTAGACAGCACCGCCTCCACGTGTTCCGTGGACAGAGCGAAGTGGTCCATCTTCTCGAAGCCCGGCTCGGGCCGCTCTTCGCCCAGCGAGGCCTTGGCGGCGTCCTTCGTCTGGGTGATGAGGCCCTTGGAGGCCAGCAGGAACTCTGCGGCGCCGCTCTGCTCCAGCGCCCTCACGGCCGTGTCCGTCAGCTCGGAGCTGGACTGCAGCCGCTCGCCGTAGCGCTGGGCCAGCGCCCGCAGCGCCGCCACCTTCTCGTCCTGCTCCTTCCCGACCTGCTCCAGCAGAACGGCCTTGCGCTCCTCCAGGACGGCGTAGAGCAGGTCGAAGCGCTCGGCCAGGCCCTGCTTGGCCCGCTGGGCGTTCTCCTGCACGGCGCGGCAGGCGTCCTCCATCTGGTGCAGCAGCGCCTGCAGCCGCCCGTTGCTGGACACCAGCGCGTCGATGGCGTTGCTCAGCTCGCCCTTCTGGGCGTCGTAGATGGCGGCGAGCGGCGCCACGTCGCAGTCCTTGTGCTGGCCGAACACCTTGCACATGGAGCAGGTGGGCAGCTGGCAGCTCAGGCAGTAGATGTTGATGCGCTCGTCTTCGTGCTCCTGGCACATGGGCTCCTTGGACTCCTTGGGCTTCAGGCCGTCCGTGCTCTCGCCCTTCCCCTCCTGCTGCTGCTTGTAGATGTCGATGATGTTCTCCACCAGCAGGTTGCGCTGCAGGCCGTGCACGCCGTGCCGGTCCAGCACCACCTCGAAGCGGCAGGTGGGGCAGCGGAAGACGCCGCCGGAGAAGCGGTAGGGGTTGCGGGAGTCGTAGAGGTCGCTGGCGCAGCTGCGGCACAGGTTGTGCTGGCAGGGCAGGATGACCACAGGCTTGGTGAACATGTCCAGGCAGATGGGGCAGCTGAGCTGCTTCTCCAGGCTGTCCATGGGGCTGGGGGGCCGCAGCACCGAGCCCGTCCGCTGTAGGTCCATGATGTCTGTGGCTGTGATGAGAGCCGTCCTCTGGAAGTCCTCTGCGTTCTATTCTGGGCCCGGCCCGGCCCGCCCGCTCCTTTATAGGAGCCTCTCAGCTGGTGACACCCGATCCGCCTGCAGGACCTTTCCACAGAAAGCCCCCCCTCCCACCGCGTCACATGTCCCCGTGGGCCGGGACAAACAGGCCGCATGTGACCGACCTGTAAACACGCTCCGGTCAACAGGATGTTTGTCCCAGACGTCTGTTCCAGCAGGTTCTGTTCTCTGCTTTACGCAAGACGGGTCGACCTCCAGAACCTTTTCTAAAACACAAACCCAGGAGTTTGGACCCAGTTCTAACCGTCCAGAATCGGCAGCATCATCAAACCCAGACACACTGCTGAGGGAACCACCAGGAGGTCCGAACCTCGGTACCAGCAGAACCGGCTGGTCGGGGTCAGAGGAACACGCTCTGAACTCTGACTGGACCTAAGCCCCAGCAGAACTCCTCTGGTTCTGGTTCCGTCTCATTTTTAATCAACTCAAAATGAACCCAACACCATCAGAACCTGAACCAGCTGCCAGGCAGGGCGGAGGATGGGTCAGGCTGAGGGATCCATCTGGTCCAGGGTCACAACAGAACCGAGAACCCGAACAGAGCAGCAGATCTGCAACAGAACCAAATCAGTTCTGTTATGGTGGCCCAGTCCAGCCCGCCATGAGGAACCGGGCTGAACCCATCTGGTTCCACCGGTTCTGTTAATAACCAGTGAACCTTCAGGCCTTTGGGTCCAGCAGCACCGTCTGCCAGGATGAGCTCATCCAGAACCGTCAGCAGTTACTGGATCCAGTTACGAAACATGGAGGCTGATCAACA